GCTTGCATTTCATTCCTTGCTGCCGCCTGTGGGAAGAAGCCTGAGCCTGCAGCCCTGCCTGCTGCCTGGTGCTGAGATGCACCATCCACTTTGTCATGGCTATGCCAGCACTGGATGCAGAGGAAACCAGGCTGCGCTTTGCTGTGGCATTTCAGACAGGTCATTGTTCCTGTTGGACCCATGCTTTCATTACAGGCTGTGCCTTCTTATCCACATCACTAACCCATAGGTTTTACAGTTCAGATGTGCCAGTTAACTCATTTCAAGTACCCATAGTTACTCATTTTCATGTGAATAAAATGCTCACCTGCTGCTCTATACCCTCAGTCAGACTTCTCTGTTTTAATGTAGAGAACCTGATGTAAACAAAATGTAGTACAAACTATCTTCTTTCTCCCGCCTTTTCCTGTTATTAGAACTGCAATATAGATGGGTACTGAGAAAAGCAAGACAACACGTACACAGGCTTTAATTAATGAGCAGGAGTTGCCTATCTGAATTCCCCATAATTTCATACAATCTAGCACAAGGAAAATTTTGAGCAGCTTCAAGAATACTTTTTCAATGAAAAATCCTACTTATGGCAGTTTATCAAGTTTTCATATTGCAATTAGTGCAACTTGAAATGAAAGTGGATAATTCTCTAAGTATTGTCCTCCCCTCACCATGCTAAAGCAAATACTTAGGTTCACAAATTCTAAGGAAGAGTGTAACTGTACCTACAAATCCTTTCCTGTGGCCCATGAGTAGCACTGTCAGACCTCGTGCTGCAAGGAATGTCACAGGCTTCCTATTCAGCTCCTGAAGAAATGGAAAAAAAAAAATATAAATATGACGCATAAAAATAAATACAAATAAATAGTCATAGAAAATAATTCTGTATAAGGACAAACAAAACACTTCATATACACACTACAAAGCTCCCAAATGTTTATCTGTTAAGGAACATGACCATTTTTCATTGCTGGCAAAGATGTACCTTGTGCAGTGTGTACTTTGAAGCCCGAGCAAAGTTTTGTTGTTCTTTCCTTCTCCCAAGGGTAATGTTTTGTAGCAAATAGAATCCAAATTCAAGGCCTAGTTAAATTTTTGCAAGCACTTTAACACATCTGCTTAGGTCCACAAAGTACAGTTGCTGCTCCTGCCTTGAAGAGGAAATGAAAATGACAAGTTCCTCACAAGGAACCTCAGAGGAATTAGGTTATAAAATGCAAGCATATTTTCAGAAAGTATTTGCATTTTTTAAAAGTGAGCAAGGGTAGATGAAGTTACTAGGAACCACCTAATCACCCATCACAAACAACTCATTCTACATGAGCTGTTGAATCTGCTGGGAGGCTCTGCAGGACTGCTGTACCTCAGGCAGGCTGGGAAGGCACCGCTACCTTCAGTGGATTATTGACATGCCTTGCTAGAAACCAGTGAAAATATCCAGGTGACTTCTCAGCACCTTGAAAAAGAAGATTCAGGCCCATATGTCAATAGAAAAAAAAAAAAAAAAAAAAAAAAAAAAAAAGATAACAATGTCTTCATTGTTAGCAAACCAATTTTAATTTCCTGTTCTATTTTTCTGTTACTTAATAATTTAATGTAGCAATATCCCACATTTGGCAAAATTATTAATATTTAAGCTTTGAGAAGTGTGGCTGAGAAGCTTATCCTAGCTAAATACTAAATATAAGTAAATCCTTTCCAGTCAAAAGACAGCAGCCTGTGACTGCTCCCACCCTGGGAGCTCCTCCAGGCCCCACCAAGCCACCTCCCACACTGCCAATGGCTGCTGCTTCACACAGATGTGGCACTTAGCAGGCCCCTTCAAGGGTACTCCCATTCCCAGGGATTGGTACCTGGCCTTCTTAATGCTGGGATGTTGTATTTCCTCACCTGTTTCTTTTTTCTGAAACAAAATACAGGTCCCTGCTATTGCTGGGCAGAGGACAAGGGAGCAGAAGGCAGATGCCATCTGAATGTGCTCCCACTTGATCAGAGTTGATAAAGCTTCTTTATGACCTGTCCTCAGTTGTACTTGTGTTATTACACACTCGAAGTATGTGTATTTTCCAACAATGGAAAAGCATTTGCTATACATTTAACAAAATGACTTCTAATTCCCTAAGTTCCATGTACAAGTTTTGCCCATGTAGACACCCTAGCAATGAGAAAAGTGAAGATGAGACAAGGAGACCATGATGAGAATGTTGTGCTCACAACTTTTGCATGAATCAGTGTTTTGCTTGCATGTGGAAGCTTACAGCAGGAACTTGGGAACTCTGGCTCCTTGCTGGCACTGGCCACTTTGGCATGTCACCAATACAGGGACAGTTACACAACCTTCTCTGTCCACACATGGACTATGACCATCCTTAACTAGCAAGGCAGTTTCCATACAAGCTAAATGCCCTGTTCTGAGAGGAATGACTAGTGGAAGTCGAAGTTAAGCTTCTTGGGAGTAAAGTTGCTGAAAAAAAATAAACATTACAACATGAGCCACCTCAATCTTCTACTTTCAGGGCAGATGGTGACCTGATTAGTTCTGCATCTCAGGAGTCTGCTCATCTCCCTGTGTCTTCAGCTCCTGTTGTCAGCAGCCTATTATTTCACTCATTCTCTGTGATTTTAGCTGACTGTGACATTTTTTATTCTTGCCTTTTGAGACAAACTGTTTGCCTAAGATAAAAAGATAAAAAGAAAAAGAAAAAAAAAGAAAGAAAAAAAAAACAACCTTTCACACCTAACTTGAAATTAAACCCACTAATTTAAAATGAACATTAGATGGTCCAATTTCTTCTTTTAAAGTAATAAGCAGTAGGGAACAGAATCACATCTTGACTACATGATTCCCTCAAACACATCTTACCTGCACCTTCCCTCCTTCTAAGAGGAAAGCCTTGGCACAACACACCAGGGAGACAAGCAGATTTTGACCATCCATGTAAGTACCTGGTGTCTCCAAAGGTGCTCCAGAGTGCCACTCTCTTGGCCATGTTCACACTGGGTTTTGATTATATCTGCCATCCTTTAGGCAACTCTCAGGTACCACAGGACATCCCCAATTACCTTAGGCAATGAATCAAGGATGTCCAGCCTGTGGCCTGCTTCCTTGCTCAGTGCTATAACGATGGTGGCCATTCCCTAAGGAGTGGCCCTGGGCATGCACCTGTTGCTCAGCAACAGCCAAACTATCAGCGTGCTATTAATGCTGTGTTGACTGAAACAGGTCACGGGAAGGGCAGTTCTGTGCAGTGCCTACTCAAGTGATGGCAAATAATTGTATGCATTTTGATGTGTTGGCTAAACACAATGCTCTGAACAGCAAAGGATATGCAGCTGTACTCTCACTTTTGATAAAGGAATTTGAAAATAGGTTTCAGCCTGTCCCCACCAGGGAGGTTCTCCAGCCCCCTCATCATTTTCATGGGCTGCCTCTGGACCTGCTCCAATCAGCTCAGTATCCTTCTTGAGTTGGGGACCCCAGAACTGGATGCAGTAGTTCAGGTGGGGTCTCAGGAGGGCAGAGTAGAGGGGCAGAATCACCTCCCTCAATCTGCTGGTCATGCTTCTCTTGATGCAACCTAGAATACTGTTGGCTTTCTGGGCTGCAAGTGCACGTTGTTAGCTCATGTTGAGTCTTTCACCACATTTGTGACATCCACAAATCCTCTCCTCAGGGCTGCTCTCAAGCCATTCCTACCCAACTTATATTTGTGCTTGGGATTGCCCCAACCCAGATGCAGGACCTTGCACTTATTCACTTGGCTTTGTTGAACTTCATGAGATTGTTATGGGCCCACCTCTCAAGCCTGTCCAGGTTTTTCTGGATGGCATCCCTTCCCTCTAGGGAGTCAACTGCACCACTCAGCTTGGTGTCGTCTGCAAACTTGCTGAGCGTGCACTTGATCCCAGTGTCCATGTCACCTACAAAGACATTAAACAGCACTGGTTCCAACACCGATCCCTGAGGAACACCACTCATCACCAATCTCCACTTGGACACTGAGCCACTGACCACATGTCCCATGGACTTGTGCACCTTCAGGTTCTTTAGATGTTCTTGAGCCTAATCTTCACTTACAGCAGGCTGATCTTCCTTCTCCCGCTTCTAACTTTTGCTTTCTGCAGCTTGGGTGGTGCAGCTAGAGCCCTTGCCAGTGAAGACTTTCATAATCCCTATCTTACCAGAGAGAAATATCTCTCACTTCACAGTCACCCCTCACTCATGTCATTGTTTTTTGGCAGTATATGCATTTGTGGACAACTGTTTTCAAGGATGAAGTACAGGAAGTGAAATTTCATCAACAAGTCTCTGATGAGCACCTTGAGACCTCTCTTAAGAACTGCAACCATTGCCATGGAACAAGCCTTATACATTAATTTCACAAAAAGGTCAAATATCCCACTAGTTTTGTTTTTGTTCCTTTCTTTTTTAATGTTTTAAGAAAAAATATTAAAAATTTAGATGTTTTGTTACTTACATATTAACAATATTGTATATTTTATGAGAGCTGCTCTCAAACTAATGTATCTTGTTTTATTGTGTTGGCCCATGATACCCAAGGCACATGTTGGTGGTATGGCAGTAGAAGCTGAAACTTACTACCAATTCCATTACATTTTTTTGCTGTGTGACAGATGGCAGCAAAGGGGCAGTCTGACACAACAGCATCTGACATGGAAGTGCATATGAAATAAAGATCTGTCATTGAATTCCTCCATGTGGAAAAAAACGCACCCACTGACAATCACCAAAGCTTGCTGAATGTTTACGAAGACCAAATAGTGGATGTGAGCACAGTGAGGTGGTGGGTGGTATGTTTCAGCAGTGGCAACAGTAAGTCATCTCCGATGCTACAGATTTTTCTGGGCACAGATGCAGGCCCTTGTTCATCGCTGGCAAAAATGCAGAGCTAATGGTGGCGACTATGTTGAAAAATAGTATTTTGTAGCTGAAAATTTTCTCTATCAAAGTGTTATTTGGCTCTTTGTATCTGTAGTAGTTTCCATGGAAATAAATAAGAGGCATTACTTTTGGAACAGCCTAGACAATTCCTATTCACTCAGTGCGGCCCAGGCAGCCAAGAGGTTGGGCACCCATGACTTGGATGCTGTTATACATGTCCACAAGGTTGTTTTCTTCTTGTCTGGGCAGGTTTAATCAGCAAAGCATCCTCTTATAAGATTATTCGAAGTATGATATATGAAACAAACAGTACTTAGATTCCACTATGAAGAAGTAACCCAAAGTAAACATAGATTAATACTACAGCTTTACAGATGTGTAATTTGTGCTAGATGATTTGCCTAAACAGCAAACAGAACATTCAACTATTAATTTCAGTATACATCATGCACACTCAATTATCAACATGAATTGATGCTTTTTAAGCCACTAATAGTTGCTGATTTGGTGGAAAAAGCATCCTTCTGATGGTTGACTTTGGCCAAAGCACATTTTCAAAAACTTTGTTGCTACTGTACAAAAAGAACACAGTGTTAAAGAAACATGTATTATGTAGTGATTCTTAATAGTGTGCTCACAGCACAAAAAGAAAAAAAATTGAACTAAATGGGGGAAAAACAGAACTCAGACCTGGAAATACTTATTCACTGTAAAAATTATTCTTAGAAATAAAAGTTCATAGACAAGTCTTTGAATCAAATTCAGCAGGCTAACTGTTGTTCTTCTTATTTAAAGCCTTCTACAAAGGACAAGGTTAACATAACAATGTAATCTTTATTCATAAAGGCCCATAGTGAGATTCTATATATAGGCAGAAGGAAACAAGTGGTATGAACCGCATGAATTCAGAAACTGAAATATGAGGTAAGTGGCATAAACACAGGCATACTATAAAAGAGAAATAAAGTAGTTTTAATAAAATAAAAGTCAAAATTCCCTTTGCTTTGAAATTTTAAATGTAACACACTCCACTTTGTAGAAAGGCATTATGCATAACTGTTTCATAGCATCAGGGATAAGTTCATTATATTGACTGAATAACAAATATATATCATTTAGTGATACACCAAAAAATAGTACAGTATTTATTTTTCCTCACATTCAGGCCCATACAACATGTGATTTATGTGTTTTTCCAGATCAGGAGGTTAGAAAGCGTAAGAACTAAAACGTGCTTAAATAATTTGGTTATCAGTCGTTGATCCTTGGGTTGGAACTTTCACACAACTGCCCACGTAGCTTTGATATCTCCAGGAAAAAGGCTGCAAACACTTTTGTTCCTTCAATGTAGTTGTGTCTGTGAAAAAGGAAAGAAAGAGAATAAATTCCTCAGGTCAGTCAGCTGTTCAGTTAGTGGCCTAGTCCAAGTTTTGAGTATCTTAGAGAAATTTGTGAGGTTGTCCACCAAAAAGAACCAACAAAAGTTTCTCAGCATTATAAAAAAAATCACCCATGTATTAGCAACAAGTTTAACAAGCAAACTGTCAGCTCCTTAACTCTGTCTTCATCGATTATTCTGGTTCAGGAGAAGGGTATGAGGAAAACCACCTCTGCAAGGATGAGAAAAATATTGTGTTCTAAGTCCTCCTTCATGCCTGTGGTGATTGCAAATTTCTCTGGGTTGTGAGCATAACTGTCACAGCCAATATTAATGGTCAGAGAGGTGACTTCATTTTCTTCTCCCATGTGAGAGTAAAGATGGCTTACTCATGCTCATTAAAGAACATCAAGAAAAACTTCCTGAAAAAAGGGCACAGTGCACTGAGATTCTGGATACTCTGCAACTGGCATTCCTTTGCAGCATTCTTGGAGAAAATTGTTTCAGTGCAATGTACCCTGGTTATTATCTTCTGCAATCATAAGAGTTAGAGCTATACTGAGAGGAAGAAAAAAATCATTTGAGAAATACTTTTGTTCTCCAGTTCCTTAAGCTCAGTACAATTCAAATCAGAAGCTGCACAAATATTTGGGCAACACTTCAATTTTGATGGAATTACATTAGTTTGAGTCCCTGTAATATAAATACACCTTTAGCTCCATTTGTCCTGAAAAACATCCAAATCTGTTCTTAAACATTAGTCTGAGTACACCCAACTGTAATACTTCAAAATAGATGCTGTGAGGGAAAAATGCTGCTCTACATCATCAATGTCCAGACCAGAGACAATACTGACTGGCATGGCAAAGGCAGTTGCCACTCTGATATATTTAAAGATTAAGTAGATATGTCATGAGAAACATATATAGCAGCATGTAATAAATTTGAAATTTTGCTTTCTGCATAGCAGAGCAATAGGTTTGCTGGAGACAGTAGTTAAGAAGTGTCTGCTGGAGAGCAAAGTTTCCCAGCCATCAATGTTATATGTAGAAGCCAAGGAACTCTGTTTGTCCTTGCTTTCTCTTACAGTGGAAATGAACAAATGAAAGAAACCTGCTTATTTTCTCATTCTGGGAGTGTTCCCCATCATCAGCTGCTCCAATCGGAAACATTATCACCCTTTTCTTTGTTACAGTCTGAAAGATTCTGGCAATAGGAATTGTTGAACCATCCCGAATAAAATCTGGATCTTCTCCAAAAACTGAAACACATGCAAAGAATGAATTAATTCTTAACTGAAATAAAAGACGCTTTCTTCTACTACCAGATACCTACATTCTGCTCTAACATGAATAGCTTGAGTAGAAATTGTTATGAGAGCACCACCAATTGATTTAACAAATCAGTTGCACTTTACTGTTCCATCTCTGTATGAGTACATGAAAGAACTAGACAAGCTTTTTTGGCTGGTCCTAGCAAATGCAAACCAACTCTGCAAGATATGAAAGGCTCTGTGGCTGAGTTGTTCTATCAAAATCAGTGAGGTTCATTAGGGTGAGTGTAGTACTGTCCTTTTTCTTTGTGGATGAGCACATTTCCCCTGCAGACTTGCAGATATATCAAAAACTGAAAAAGAAGAGACATACCTGTTCTTATTGCCCTTTTTGCTGCTTTATATAGTGGATCATTAACATCAGCGACCCAAGGTTTAGCACCCAGGGGCATGGACACCTTCAGTTTGTTTGGACTGTTCCTCTTGGCAAATACATTCTCCAAATGGTTCACCACCTGCAGGGCAAACACTTTCCACCTAGAATCTTTCATCTTCTTGAAACTACCCTTGTAAACAGCTAAATGCAAGAAACATTCAATTCAGTTTATTACAGAGGGTGTAAAGATGTGAGGTGCTATGAAGACTTAGCTTACACAGTAGAAAGTACCTGGCTTTAGCTTCTTACCTGTTGTTTCACATCTGAAAGATCCATGTTGGGGACTTGGCGGATTGAGAATTTCCCTATGACTTTTGCTGGAATTACTGTTTTAATTCCTGGTTCATGAAAAGCTCCTTCAATCCCATGAATAGAGAGAGAAGGATAATGCCACAGGTGTTGAAGTATTTCTTCCTTCAAAAAATAAGATAAAAAATAGAAGGGATGACACTGGAACTGTTCACAATTGATAGAACCAAACTGAAGAAGCACACTTTTTCCATCCATGTTGTACATTTAGAACACAGAACACTCAAGATAATTGGTTTGTAATTTAAAAAAAAAAATGTTATCTTTTCATTCCAGAAAATACTTCTATTTCCTTCCAGTCTATATTTGTTTCCCTTTAGAAACATTTAGATGAGAAAAGCCTTTCATACACAATAAGAAAGGTGAAGCACAATTAAAAATATTTTGTCAGTGAATTTTTTAGTGCCAAGTTACATCAGAACAACTGATCTGGCCATCCGTGGATCTCAGTACTTCTACAAGAAGAAACCTGTCACCAGTTCAGCCAGACCGAATTCAGACAATACAGGGGAGAAATTATACTAATGACCAAAGTGGTAAGTGGTAAAGGGATAATGTTCAATTACCAGAATGATGTCTTTTTCTGGAGGAGATAAGGGGAAAAAATAAAGAAATGAATAAAAAACAAAGTGCTTATTAAAAGAGGAGAGGAGTGAAAGGACATCCTTTTTGTTTTTTCTTTTTTTTTTTTTCCTAATAACTCTGTAAACTCAATTGAGTGCAGAACTCCAGAGTGCCTCTCTTTCTTTGTGCTCCAGCTTTCTGGAGCCTTATGCACACATGCAATTTCTACTATTTCATCCACATCTGGGAGAAGCATCAAAACTTATTTACTGTTAATTATACTTATAGAAGACCAGTTATTGCAGTCTAGTTTAGACCATTTCAAAAGATTTTTCATAGAAATAAAAGCTAATATTGATACAATTACATTAGTGATAAAAATACAAAATACTCTACACTTTCTCCCAGCTGCAAGTCATAAGATCATAGAATCATAGAATGGCCTGGGTTGAAAAGGACCACAATGATCATCTAGTTTCAACTCCCCTGCTATGTGCAGGGTCGCCAACCACCAGACCAGGCTGCCCCGAGCCACATTCAGCATGGCTTTGAATGCCTCCAGGGATGGGGCATCCACAACCTCCTTGGGCAACCTGTTCCAGTGTGTCACGAGCCTCTGTGCAGAGACATCTTTCTAAGCCAGCCCTTGTCTGCAGTTTTTATTCATAATGTATTTTTTAATTCTGGCAAAGTGGCTTATAATCAAACCGTTTGGTTTGCATTATTCTTTTTCATTGATTTTTCATATTTTTGATTGCTTTACCCCAAAGCTTTCACTTTCCACAGATTAATTTTGTTTACTTTTTGGTGCTCTGTGTTCCTTTATTTTGAGTTTGCCTTTGGCAGAAAATATCTTTCAGTTTGGCTTTATCCATAAACACTATGAATGTGTAATTCAAATTCTTTCTGCTATGCATTTATGTTTACCTTGGTGCTGTAGAGGAGTTTTTTCACTCCACTATTATTTTTGTGTTCCTCTATATCATATTCAATAGATTCATACAATTTCTTATCCTCATCTGTCAGGGCAGCAACAGCATCATAGATTCCAGGGATCTGAATATGACCTGTGGGATCTACAAGGCTGTCTACAAAAGAAAATGAAGATATCAGTAAGACTAATTTCTTCTACTTGGAAATTGCAACTTCTTTTCCATTTTACTTAACTCTTTTGAGTTAATGAAATGAATAACCCTAACAAACAACTACTCTGTTTGCATCCATCAAGTTGCCTCACTTAACTTTATGTATTTTCATGTTTAGTAAGAAAAGCACTGAGCTGTTGTTTGTTTGCAGTGTGTAGAGGGTCAGCCCAGCTGCAGACATGAGAGCATCATCCCACTTAGAAACAAATCAGCATTAGATTGGGTGCTGCTACTTGCTACTTGCATACATATTCAGGTTGCCCACAATCCTAATCCATCCCAAATTAACAGGTTAATATTAGACTGAAAGGATAGCTGACATGTCTGTTCTTACAAGGGACATTCCCTTCCTCAGCTGCTCTCACCACAGCTATGCTGAGCTTAGGAAACCTAGGAATCATGCTTCTATTGGACTTGCCCTATGCAGGTCATTAATTAAACATAGCACTGATCTTCATTAGGTTGATTGCTAGTTACTGTTCCCCAGCTACTCTCGAGTCGTGGTGCATATTATTACCCAGCAGAGCTATCAGGTCTGTCAGCGGCTCATGAATGATGCCTCCAAAAGTTCCAGAGTGAAGATCCTTGTCACCACCTTCTACCTGTGCCAAAAACATAGTTTACATAAGAGTAGTCCCTACCTCATTCTTCTGTGAGTATTCATTTTCCTCAGGAACTGGTAGCCTCACCTTTTCAAATGAGGCCACAAATAAAAAACTATTACATTTCTATTCATAAAATGGGAAACATGTCAGGAACAATCTGCTACAAGTAAAGAGAAGATAGGCCTCTGTTGTTAACCAATGGAGAGAGAGACTCAGCTCTCTATACTACTTACAGGTATTTGAAAGAAAGAATCCTCCATTCCCACCTTTACTTCAGTAAAATTAAAAACATCATAAGTATGTTGCATATTGCAGTTTTTAGCATTGTAGAATAAGTGCAAAAATCTTCGTAACAATAGCAAAACCTTATTCTGCATTTATAAAATATATGTCCAAGTTTGAATTGAATTGTTGATTGTAACAAATAAGAATTCAGAGCTCTCTTGAATCATACAACTTTAGAACAGAGAAAGGCATCTGGTTTATTAAATGGGTTATTTTTCCAGACACAATTTCACGCTCAGGTTTACTGTAAAATATATTCCTGAAACAAACTTGTTTAATCTTCTCTAAACCTCATTACAACCAGCTGTCTGGAAGCAGGCAGAGGTCATTTTTGATGTTTTAATGTCCTCATTTTTCTTAACCAAGACTTACACGAATTGAATAAAAACTGCTGAGGTTCTTTTGGTTAAAAACAAATTTTCATTCTTTTTCAAACATAAAGGTCAATGCAGATTTTTTTTTTTTTTTTAGTTCTCTAGTTCTTTCTCTCTGAATTCTTTTATGCTTAAAGTTTCCAGATATGAAATTTCACTTCAGAGTAGCTCACGTTGGCTGCTAAATATAATGCAGTGCACCATTATTTGCTTCTGCCAATGGTTACAAAAATTTTATGCTGCTTTTAAACTCAGAGATCCAACTAAACTGAATGCCTTTAGGCAGTGATGTTGCATTTAGCAATACCTGCTGCAGAAGGGCAAGAGCAGCAGGAGGAATAGGCTTGGAGTGGCAGTGGTCTACTACAGAAGGGGGCTGATGGGGTGATCAGAAACAGCTGGAAGAGGAGAAGGAGAGCAATGGGATAGGGGAGAGATCAAAAGCGGAGAAATGACAACTGAAGAGAAACTAATGAAAGCAAATAAAGCTAACAACTGAAATAAGGAGGGAAATCTGCACAAGCAATGAAAAGCATAGAATGAAGAGTGGCATTTGTAAATACTCAACTTGCTCTCAGCCTTTCTCTGCATTCAGAGACAGATGTAATCTCAGATATATCACTGCTCACTGTCAGGGGGCTACTTCACAAAAATCCACATCCCTCACCTCCACAGAGAAGCAGGCATTGCCCCGAGTCCCATATATAAGGGCAGGCTTCTTCTTGCTCAGCCAGAGGTTGTCTGAAATCACAATGTAATCAACGTCTGATAAAAAGCCCTGTTTTTCTTCTTCAAGTAGCTTCTCCAGCCCCAAAGACCCTGCTTCCTCCATGCCTTCAATGACAAACTTGAAGTTTACTGGCATAGCCTGAATGAACATCAGAGAAGTCTGGATAAGGAACAAGCACTTTCAAAAATAAAAATGAATCTGTAAAAAGCAAAAGCAGACTGACTTACAGTATATATTCAGAAGACAGCAACATGGAATATATGGATTGTTTTAATAGAAAAGGCATTGGTAGATATATACATACAGTTTTCCTGCTAAACTTGTTTTTCTCTCCTTTTTTTTTTTTTAAAGCATTAAGAAATATCTTTTTTATTTCTATTTCCATAAAACTTTTTGAGTTGCCATGGGATTTCTTTCAGTAATATTAAATATTGATGACTTTGGAAAGTGTGTTTAATAACAATTGCATTTTCACAGAAAAAATTTCTGTCCACTTAAACTTGCACTACTAGTGCCCATCTTGAAATCACTCGCAAAATTCCACTGCTGCGTTTTCCCTGCATGTTACCCATCATGAAGGTTAGTCACCTGGTGGTGAAAGTGCTCTTGGCAAATCCCTGTTAGTTGTCCTCATTAACCTGTAGCCCTGCTAGCTCATAAGAATGCATTTCTAAGAGTAACTAGAAGAACTTTTGTGGAATATTGAGAGTTACAAGTGCTGACATATCCTATAGGAGAAATAAATGTGATCTCAGATTCCCTTTTCAATTCATTTTCTGATTATAGGCTGTAAGGATGTTTTCTGGTTTGATTCAATTCTCAATTTAAGCTCAGGAACAAATGTTTAGATTTAAATTAACTTGTGCAATGAATATGTTCACCAATGGCTCATCAAACAACCACAAAAATTTAGAAACAAACCACTCACGAGTATTGCCGGATGGTCTGTGCTGCTTTCTAGGGGAAGGTGTAATGACAAAGATTTTTTTTTTTTTTTGCTTATTAAATATGACCTCATAGTATTAGCAATATGATAAAAGCTTTTGACACTGTCTCCTGCACAGTATTCTTCTCCTTTGCGGGACAGTGACAGCAAGACCATTTTTACATTGCTTACAGACTACTGAAAATAAAAATAGTCAAGTACACATTCATATTGGAGTGGGATAAGTGCACTATAAATGGCATTAGAAATAAGCTAATATTTCAAGATAGACATACACTGCTGGGACTGAAACATATCATCTAAGTCACAAGAAGGCAAATACATTCCTCCAGAGAGATAACAACCAAGTCCTCACTTATACCTACTATTTTCAAGGCTCTAAACGTTTCCACTGCATTTATCCAAGCCAACACAGGTCCTTTATTATCTGTTGCTCCACGCCCATAGAGATTTCCTTAAATGAAAAAAAAAAAAAAAAAGGCTTTCAAGAAATTTTAAACTTATTTAGTCTCATCAATGCAATCTGCAAATTTCTATTGCCACAGAAGCTGTACCAGCATGTCAAGTGAGGTGTCAACAGAATCAGGATTTCCTTGATGTGTTTAAATTAAGGTGGTGGCTGTTTACCAGTGAAATGGTATGTTGGCTTTTCTTGTGATTTTTTAAAGTTTTGTTTACTTGATATGGTGGTTTCTGCTACATGCTGTTTTTTTTTTTCATTTGTTTATTTCATTATTATTTCCATGCCTGTTTAAAGGAGCTTTTTGTTCCCTCCAGACATGCCTGAAGAGTTTGCACAAGATGCAGTTTCAGCATAGGTGACAAGCAGCAAAAGAGCACAGATGAGCACCACCACAGAAACGTGAACTACAAATACAGTTGGAGAATAATTTTTTAACAATCAGCCATATAGTTAAATAGGACAGATTTTGATTTCATGTACAGCAGTAAATATCTGTGAAAGCCCCCACTGTAGGTGAAAGGGTTACCTTATTAAAGTTGTTTGGAACCAGTCCCAGCAGATGGGAAACAGTGACTTACTGGCTACAGGACTAGGAACCAGAATCCCTATGTTCTTGAATTCTCTCACCCTCTAACTCACCATCCACCATTTGTCTTCCTTCAGTGAACTTATCATGCTCAGCTGATTGCAGGACAAGGATTGCTACCTCAAGTGAGGACGATATTCTTCCACCCAGTGGTCCCAGGTGAACCTCATGAGGTTCAACAAAGCCAAGTGCAAGGTCTTGCAGCTGGGTCATGGCAACTCCCACTACCAACACAAGGTGGGGGGTGTAAGGATAGAGTGTAGCCCTGCCAAAAGTACTTGGGAGCACTGGTGGATGGCAAGCTGGACATGAGCAAGCAGTGTGCCTCACAGTTCAGCAAGCCAACCGTAACGTGGGCTGCGTCAAAAAGAAGTGTGGCCAGCAAGTCTAGGGAGGTGATCCTGCCCCTCTACTCTGCACTGGTGTGAGACCTCACCTGGAGCATCCAGATGTAAAGTCCTCAGTACAGGAGAGACGTGGACCTGTTGGAGCATGTCCAGAGGAGTGCCACAAACATGACCCAAGGGATGGAGCACTTCCTCAATGAGGACAGGCTAAAAGAGCTTGGGGCTAATCAGCCTGGAGAAGAGAAGGCTCCATGGAGACCTGAGAGTGGCCTTTCAGTATCTAAAGGGGCCTATAAGAAGGGGACAGACTCTTTAGCAGGGTCTGTTATGACAGGACAAGAGCAAATAGTTTCAAACTAAAAGAGGAGAGATTTAGATTGGATATAAGGAGAAAGTTTTTTTAAGATAAGGGTGGTGAGGCGCTGGAACAGTTTGCCCATAGATGTGTTGGAAGCCTTATCCTTGGTGACATTCAAAGTCATGATAAACTTACACTCTGAGTAACCTGATGTAGCTGTAGGTGTCCCTGTTCATTGCAAGGAATTTGGACTAGATGATCTTTAAGGATCTCTTCCATCTGCTCAGAAGATTCTACAGTTGTATGAAGTGCTCCTAAGTACCAGTATGCAGGAGAGGTGCTAAAGGATTATAGTGACTGACCCAACAACCCAATCTTAAAGCAGAAGTGGACTTTCTAATGATCACTAAAAAGTGACATTAATCTCACATGGCTCTTCCACACCAACTATTAAGCAGTCAGTGATGAGTCTCACCAATCACAGCATGGGATCAAGAAGTAAAGTTGCTGGATGTGTCCTGTCAGATTCCATGGGAGAAGTTCTTGTGCTGTAGTTAACAATATAGGGAACATCCTCCTACTGGAAATCTCAGAATCACATTTCAAATAATGACAGAACAATTATAATTTGGTACACACCATTGATTTCAGTCAATGTGTAAGGGTCAGTTTTCCAGCCATCTTCCTTTTTGGCAGGCTGCACATCCACGTGGCCATAGAAACAGATTGTGAGGTTTTGGGGATCCCTGCCAAGTTCCCCGAGAACAACAGGTGGCAGTGGAAGGTGCTGGCCATTCAGCAACTGTAGATCAGTATTATGAAAGCAACATGGGAAAAAAAAAAAAAAAAAACCTTTGAAGACTTGCAAATGTTTTAAGAACCAGAGAACGCATTGCAAATAATTCTGCATCGTTGATTTGATCAAGTCCTTAAATCTGACTTTGAATCCAAATCTAACCTGCTTAGAGAAATTAAAACTTTTTTTCCTTCACATTCTGCTGGGACTTTATGGAGTTTCTCTAACATTACATTGCAATAAATGAACTCTTTACTAAACTAGTACTTCTCAGTACTGGAGAGAAAGTTGACTGCTGTGTTGACAAAAGCATATCTTGTGACATTAAAATAATCAAAAGCCACACAAAAGCTAATTTGGGGACTTATTTTTCAACAGACAGATGGCAGGAGGCTTGCAACTTCAAATAAATAAACAGAATAAAACTTTGCTGGCAGGAGGCAGCAGCAGAAATTTGGTAATGTTTTGAAAACAGGTTGTGGCTCTAAACTGCTCTTATAATTCACAGTTATGCAGAACAGATCACCACATCTTGGCCAGGAGAGGCTGGATATCTCACAGGGGTGAGAAATAAGAACTAAAAGAATGCACATACCTCTTTGAATTCACCAGTAATATTGGTTTATATTAATCTGTTGAATACTAAAATGTAGCTGCTTCTTGCCAACCAATAGAAAGCCCTAAGCAGAGAGAGATATGCCTCTGGTCTCTGATTCAACAACAGGTAATCCATTCCCTGCTGTTATTGACACAGGCTGTTGACATATATCTTGGCATGCAATTATGATTGCCATGTGCTCAGGTTCATTATGACTAGTCAATGACATAGCCTGATAGTATTAAAATATTGCTGTGCCGCAAGATTCTTGAGTTGAGATGTTCACTGACCTTCCCAGGAGCTTCATAGGAAGGAAAAGTGAATCCCTGGTCATGAGTTTTGAATTCCTCTGAGCACAGAAACCCAACAGCTTGGGGCAGGAAAGAGCCACAGCCTCAATGAGATGAGTAAACTGAAGATAAAAATTTCTCATAGGCTAACTCTTACCTGTTGTTTTCCAAGAATCATTAAGCCCCTCAAAAAACAAAGATGATGCTTAAGATCCCATTTCTGGTAACATTTTTCTTGTAAAAGTTACTTCCTCGTATGGAGACTTTGGTGAAGAGCTGATGCATTAACTGTGGTACATCATCAAGAACAAAGTTAAAATAAACCCTGGTAAAAATTCAGACCTTCTTCCTTTTCTTTCTGTCCTACAGTTAATGGGTAAAACATGACACATGCACAAATAAGAATTTAAAATACAAGAAATGGACATGCACCTGCTGTGACCCCAGGCTTACTGAATTAACAGTGGCTCCCAAAGCTGCAAGCCTGGCTGCTGCCAATGACATCATTCGTATTACTTCTTTCCTCAGGTCTGGTTGCACAGAATCACTTTTCACAGCCACCCATTCCTTGAGATTCTGCACAGCAAGAAAAGAACAGCTCAATAAGCTGGTTGATCTAAAACCCAGGAATCTGTAGTGACTGCCCTTTGTATATGAAAGCATCACACTGGAATAGAGTTTCCTTTCCATCCTATCAGCAATATGATGGAAGCTATATGTTTTCCAACTGATAAAGATTTGCCAAGAGCCAGGATTGCCCTTCTTATGCTTAAAATGCACTCGCCAACCTTGGCCCCCAGCAAATCATCAGAGCCCCATGCCAACCCCTCTCTGCAAAACTCCCCGGCAGGTAGCAGTAGGAGCTGTGAGGTCTGTTCACATCTCCTGTTCTGGTACATTTTGACTCAGTGGAGCCTCTCTGCCCAAGCCCAGTCTGCAAATGTCCATGCAAATACCTCTCCCACCTGGAGGGTTCCCAGCACCGACTGGGAAAAAATTTACAATTTTGCTTTGTGGCACAAAGGTGGCATACCCAACTCCAGACCTGAAACCTACTGCTTTCTAAATGGCAAACACTTATCTGCCATGTGGAACACAAGCCTCCAGTCCATTAGTGCTGCCCTTCAACCATTTCCCAGCAGTATAATTCCTACCTCGATGAAGTCGCTTTGATGTGCTTCAACGTAGGGGAAGATCTCAGTCTCCAGCACTGACAAGGATGACAAGGACATTCTTGCCTTCAAAGAGCAGCACAAGGCTGAGGTGGGCACTATCTGAAAGTGGAAGATAAAATTAAGCATTAGAGAAATCCTGTAACGTGCACTTCTTTTCTGTGCTATGAACCACAGACAACTGCAGAATACTGAACCTTCTTTAAGTCCTCCAAACCAGGAGCAGGAGAAAGGATATCTGAGTTATTTTATCACATAAAATCTGCAATCATTCATAATCAATCTTCCAGAAGAAAAAAATAGTGAAAAAAATGACCAAAGAGTAAACAGCTTTGTGCTTTGCAATTTCTGCTTTGGAAGGAAATCAGGGAAGGTATTTTCCAAGGAAATTCTCGCTGCATCAGTTTTCAATGCACAGCTTCACACTGCACATTCTGCAAAGACAGCCGCAGGGGAAGGCTTGCAAACAGCAGCACACGGCAGCTGCCCAGGGGAGTCATCTTTCCTTTTCTCCATTTCCAGAAAAGGAGGAAAATAGATTCCCTGACACACACTCTGTTTTTCACATGAATAAGGAATAACAGCCCCAGCAAGAAAACTAATCGGTGCTGTAGGTGAACAAGAACAGCAGCAATACTGAGACACCTGGTAAGTGCAGAATTCATTTAGTGCTTACAAACCTCTCTGCATCTTGTTTTTCCTGAGATGGGTGATGACTTAAAAATGTAATTTTTAAAAGTGTTTTTCTTTCTTTCTGAAGTTTCATTTTCTTGTTTCCTTGAAGTTCTTACTGTAGTTCTTTGAATAGGTGCTAACCAAGTAATATATAGGGTGAGGCTAAACTCAGAATAGCTGCTGTGTTGGGCTGTACGATGGGATGAATCCCAAGGTCATGACACAGAACATTGACTATGCAGGTCCAGCCATAATTCCTTAACTCTGATGCATCATAAAATGATGATCTACAGCAATAACAATAATTTCAGGTATGTTTTTTTCCAACAGATAAGGAGTATAGGAAACCTGTGTGGAGAATAGAAGAGGGAAAGAAGGGAAGGGGAGTAGGAGAGTGGAAAAAAGAGCTGGGATTACCCACCTGCAGAATAACAGTCAGCTAAGGCGCAGTAGCACCAAGTAGCCTGGTGTGTTTCCAGCAACAGGCACACCCACTGTTACTGCAGTGACACTTCGAACCAGCAAGGAAAACAGCAAAAACAACAACAAAACACAAAAACTTCACTTTTTTTTTCCCTAAAATAACCAGACTATATAAGCCCAGTCAAGATTTTCAGTTAGTTCATCTCCTAGACCTTAATTACTTGAAAGAGTTTGCAATCTTGATCTTTAAAATCAAACTAGAGAAAGCAAACCTCCAAGATAATGGTAACTAAAAACTGTTTTTGTGGTTTCACTATTGACGTAAAAGCCTGCAAGACCTGTTTTTAGACAGGGAGCTCTTTATCCCTTTGTCAAAGCACATTTACCTGTAAAAACTACAGATTTGTTTTCCTATAGAGACAAACCAGACAAAACAGCTTTGAAAATAATCTCTGAAACACTGCCTCGGCTATGCCTTGTAGGAATTTGGCGAAGAACAGATCCTGAAGTTGAAGACTGAACATAGAGATCCCTAACATATGATGTGCAGGCACCATTTTCCAATTTTTCCTTTCAAGCCAAGTTTCTTCTGCATTACCTGTGACACGAGCCGTTCTTTGAAGTAAAAACTTGAGAAGCTTTGTAACACTAGATGTAATCACCACTGTCTGGTTCCTCATTCCTGCTGACACTGGGAACACTGGTATTGCAAGAGACCAGTTCTGGAATACATTAGGGCTGCAAAGCACAACTACAGAGGTCACCTGCTGATTGAGACAAGAAAAATCCAAACCTAGGGCAATTTTAGGATGGAGATGGTAAGTGTGAAATATAATTTAAGTGATAAGATTTGAAGGAAAATATCATAAAATCATTAAGGCCTGAAAAGACCACTAAGATCATCTAATCCAGCCATCAACCCATCATAAGAAAAAAGAAAAATCAAGCAATGGTCAAAGAGCCACATTCTTCCCACAATTTTCTTTATGAGAAGGTAAACCTTGCCTCCAGCAGGTGGACCTAACCAACCATCATCTTCAAATACTACCATCGTCTATCACAGAAGCAACAATTTGGCGTGAAACAAAAGGGATTTTTCAAGCAAGCTTGAAAACATTCAAGACATTTAAGAGGAGACAAGTTTCTAGGATTTAGCAATAAAAATGTGGTGGAGAATGAGGATTTGAAGTTTAGTAGGTAAAGTTATTGTAGACAGCTTTGGGTGGATCTTCAGTAGGGATGGCTTAACAACAGCAGTTTCTCAACAGGCATCCCAAACTTCCAAAGCCCAGTCTGGCTATTTCTTCCAGCCTTTGGCTGTGCAAATGGCTGCAAAAATTTGGCAACTGAAGTCCATTTTATAGAGAGCAAGTGTGATCACACATACCACCAGCAGGACTTCCCAGATGCAAAGAGAAGACATGGCTGGGAATCCCATGTGGGGGCAGCGGTGGCTCTTCCCTGATGAACGGGGTTTACTGACAAAGGTGAAATCTTGACACTTTCCAGGATGCTGCCTGGATGGATACAAAGGTTATTTGGGCTGTGATACAGCAGGCTATCTCTGAAAGAAGCCCAAAGTACAGGGGGATGATAAATGTCAGGCAAGAGGCAGGCATAGAGGCAACCTTTATGCAATTTGCAACAGCTGTGTCTGCATGATTTTGCCTCACCTCACTTGAACCAGGAGCAGGTTACCTTCATTTTGTCACAAAATCTCCTAGATGCTTCAGTTTCACTTGCATTTCACTCATTCTTTCTAGTTTGCTATTTCTAGACCGTGACATGGTAAGTACTTGCAATGAATGTGTCCTCATTTAATCTTATTCTGTAAAACAAAACAGGCTTTTCTAGTTTCAGCTACCTAAAAAAGTACCTTTTGGGTATGTTGCACTTGAACAAGGAAGGTCAGAACACAGGTTACAATATGGCTGTTAAAGTAACCACATTCATACAATGAATAAGTACTGATTTCTCCATCATCCATAGTTTTCCCTCTTTCTGTTCATGTATTCTGTCTTTCTGAATTGCATGCATTTTCACTGTAAAAAAAAAAAAAATGAGTATATATATTCGGCAGCTTTGAGTGACTTGAAGGAACACAGTTCTTTTAGTATTACTCAAAGGTCAGTATCACAGAAGGGCTCCTCCAAGCAAGCAAAACATTCTAAGAATAAGTGAGATAATTGTGAGCTTTTTCAGAGACAGTCTTCAATAAAAGTTTTAAGAATGTCATAAGACTTTTTTTTTTTTTTTTTTTAAAGAGATAAGCATTAAACAATGGCAAAGTTCAGAAATTGAATGCAAGGAGATACTTACATAGTCCTCCAAAGCAGCAGAGCACACCAAAGACTCAAACAAGAAATTAGGTAGCAGAAGTGTTGTGCTGCACTTCAGGGAAACGGGGAGCAGCAGATGGGGCTTCTCATCCACGCATTGCTCATGCACAAATAAGGCTGCTAGAAAGTGTCTGGACAGTGTCTGGGAAAGGTTGTGCAAAAAGAAGGTCAGTTTGATAACGGAGTAGAAAGATTTCAGGCAAGGCTGAAATAGCTCAGTGTTGCAAGGAGGGAAAAACAATCTGAAAGGATGATAAAGCCTGCAAAAGAAGAAACATCAAACAAAGACTTCAGTGTTCAATTTCAAGTGTGTTTGAGTTATTCTCATTTTAAAGAGCAGTTGCTGCCTTATAGGAAAGTGCAATATGACTATTTTTAGAAATAATTTCTGACAGTCACGCACTTTCTCTTCCTTTGTTTCTTTGCAGTGAGAACACCGCGTGTCTCATTTCCTTCCATCTCCTTAAGTACTGTTAAAAGAAAACTTAGTGTCCTTAGAGGATGATTTAACAAGAAATCCAAGCTGATTCTTTAACTTGGATGTATCTCTGATAAAATATCAGCTAAGCTTACAAAGATTTGAGAATTCCCGAATGTGCTTTTCCACCATTCTCACCATTCTTGACATGTTTATCTTAGGTGACTCCTCCCAGAGATGCTGAGATGCAGCATTTGACTGGGGAGCTGCAGAGATTACCGATGAGAACTGAACATATTACAACCAAGCTACAGAAAGAATAAAGGCAGAAACCACCTACTTTTCAAATAATAAAAATAAAATTTGATGTGAAAAGAAGTAAAAAAAAAAAAAAAAAAAAAAAAAAAAAAAAAACCACATCTATGGTGGTAGGAGTTAGTTAATAATAGCAGGCTCCCTTGAGAGAAATATTCCCTCTATCGAATCACCATCAGGGTAGATAGAGATACCTGAGATGTTATTTAACTTCCTTTAATGATATTCAGCAAGAAGTGTTCCATCTTTAATGGAAGCAGGCAGCCGAGGACCAGAGGCCACTCCAGCTGGGCAAGGCTCTGCAAGGCATTGAAGTACAGCTCTGCAGGCCAAGGACAGACCTCGTGCAGCCACTAGAGGTATAACAACATGGAGCCACACAGATCTGGACACGAGCACCCTCACAAAGTCTGACTGCGTGGAGATGGTTAAAGAAATGGCATCAAGTCCAGAGAGCTGCGTAACAGCAAGGATGCTGTTTGATGGGGAGCAGAGGCAACCCTGGCACTTGCTGCCAGATGAGGCTGGAGCCTCCAGCAGAAGCCCTGAAGAAACACTGAGTGTGAGCTGCCTTGAGGGCTTTTCAGAGAATGGCAGTGGTTGTTCTTGCACTTTTTGCTCACACTGACTCATAGAGAAAAAAAAAAATAAGCCTCCGTTTATCAGTTCTGGTTTGCTATATTGCAATAACAGTGAAGAAAGCCCTTACCTCTACGTCGTCTTGTTTTGCAGCTTTATGGCTGGTGATGAGACTGAGCTGGAAAAGATCTCCTCTGCCACGTGCAGAGCAAGGGCATTAATCTCAATTCACAGTTGTCTCCTGTCGTTTTGAAGGGTTACTTGAGAGTTAAAGATTAACTGTTGGTTTAGATGTTTAAATCTGTTCCTCTATCATATAATAATCCAAGCAGGAAATCCAATTCACTCACACAATGATTCAGTAGAAAATTTCCCTTCCCCTTCCTCCTTTTCTCTGTGCAAGTGTTGGATCCTCATAGCAATCTCAGCATCAGAAAGCACTTGAGCAATTCTGATAAGTGTTCCTGCTTTACAGAGCGTGCTTTGGAGGACGGAGAGAAGAGAGATGGCTTTTGTTTGCTGCTTCAATTTGAAAACTGGAAAATAAAAGCGTACGTTTCTCCTAAAGGGAAAATCTTCTTCCAGGGAGTAATATTTCACTCTGTCCACTGAGGAAAACTTAATATTTATCTAAGATTTTTTTCTGATATCAACTGAGTTTACAATCAGATAAACCCTGGTTTAAGGAGATCCTTAGATCTGATAGCTGAGCTGCCTTCTTCTCTTTTCCATAACAAAAGGTTAATATGAAAGAACTACAGGAGATACTGAACTACACGCAATAGCATGTAAGGCTGAGCTATTAATCTGGATCATAATGCCCTCTAGAACACAGTGAGCACCAAAAGGAAAAATACAATATACACAAACACTGTTTACTGACTTTCTGGGATGACACTTGGCATATATAATACCTATATAATACATATATAATACCTATATAATACATATATAATACCCTCTTGGATATGGGTAGTCTCATCATCATTTTTACAGCCAGTTCTTCCTTACAAAAGAGCCTCTGAACTTGTAGCAGATTCCTCATTTTAGGTGCTTGTGTCTGTATACAAGCTTTATCCTTATGTTTCTCTGTCCATTTGGAAGAAGCTGCTATTCAATTATTAATACCTTGTATTAACAAGTCTTACAAGTGAGGTCATGCCTCATAGCGTTAGGCAGACATTTTCATTTATGTATTTCTTCTTTATTTAATATATAAAACCCATTTGCAAGTGAAATGCAAAATTTGGGGGAATATTAAATACTTATTCATATTTAAAATATTTCTATTTTTGCATAAATCTTGCCTTCCTTTACCCTAACTTTATATCTGTTTCTTGTTGGAGTTTTACTTGCATTACAATCATAAGCATAAGATTAGAAATAGGTCAACTAAATTTGTAGTCATTTAACTCTATTTATCACTATACTACAGGAAAATAATATGATTGTGGGAACAAAAAGGAGCGATGATTACTTTGTAGCTTATTATTTCATTGCTAATTGCTCCTTATTTTATACCTTATAACTTGGAACAAGGTTTAGAGTCCACAGGGTAATAGATTTACTGTTTGATGGTCATTATACCATTTATGGAGTATCATAAACATTGACAACATTGTTTAGAAGCTTTTTATACGCAGGCAGCTTTATCTCCTTCATAAAAACACTGTGATGGTAGCTTATTAACTGCAAAAAAGGCTCACCTTCAAGGAAAGATAACTCAATTTGAATAGTTCAGCTAAGTGCTGACATGGACACCTTCTCCCTGGTAAGTCTTCAAGCAAAAGGAAGTAGCTTACAGAAAATTAAGAGAATTAAAACAGCAGGTTAAAGTGAAGGAGAACCAATGTCTTTATGTATCTTGTCCTTTGAAAAGGTAAGCTATCCAGGTCAAAGATGGTCTCCTACTTCGACTTTTTACTATACCTCAGGGAAGCAGCCTCACTTGGTTACAAAGTGTTGATGCAAATATGAGTAACTTAATTTCAGAAGCAATTCAGCAGAAGTAGCATGCCTTAATTGTCATCTTAATTTAAAAATATCATAAGTAATTACAATACTAAGTTTGAGAGATCAAATATGTAAGAAATACACTGTTGGGAGAAATACTTCATAGGCAGAGAAATGATATAATGAGTTTCACCACTACCCATCACTCTATAAGCAATTACCTCTAGCTCCAGCCAGCTATTTTTCATTTCTTGAAGGTATATTTCAGGAGAAGGAGAATGATATTGCAATATCACAATCAGTGGTATCTGGTAATTATTGCAGCCAGTATGATTTCAGTCATGAGGGTGGTATACTGAGAAATGAAATTTAAATTATCTCCTCCTCCTAGTCGCGTAAATCCAGAATGTAGAAACTCCTTCACACAATTCCCCAAAATATCAGTCACCTCCAAGCATTTCTGCTTCTGCTCCCAGTGCAGCAGCAGCAGCAAGCCCTTCCACCTCCTCACTCTTGCCCACATCACGCTGCAGTTTAAGTAGAATTTTCCAGACATTGTTTCTTGAGATACTCATAACTGATGCCAAAATCTGGAACTACAAGTTAGGCAGCACTCTCTGCTGCAGAATTTGTCAGACAGAGCTGTGAAATTCACTAGTAGAGAGGCAAAGACCACTAAGATCCAGAATTAACAGCTGCTACCTAACCACTGATAATCCCATTTGGGTATGGCTATGGAAAGAGATCATTTCATGGAAGATCTCAGTTCCCAGGCAACAGGTCACACAGTGCTTCACAAAGGCTGGTGGCTGTAGGCTGTGCTGCATTTGAAGCAGTGATGCTCAGCACCTCTCAGGAGCAGGGCCACCAAGGCTTACAACACTGTAAAACAGCTATTGGTTACATGGAGACTTCCCACCGTGTAGTTCTGGGTTCAGCAAGAGCTCTGTAAACAGATCTCTGACCACACAGAGTTTATATGACAGCCTGGGGAAGAATAAAAAATTCCTCAAGCATCTTCTCCAGTACAGTGTATTGAATGGTGGGATACAAGACTTTCTATTTTTTCAGGAGCAAGATTGTAAATTTATTTAACAGTTAAGCAGAAATATTTTCAAATGTTAATCATGCTAAAGTGACTGCAAGAGGTTCTGCCAGTCTTAATATCCTTCAGGCAGCTTTGCTTAGACAAACCACAACAGCATTCTTTCAGGGGTGATTAATGCTCTCCATGCAGGTGAGGTTCTTACCCATAGATAACTCACAGGCAGCAGTTATGCAGTAACTACAGTCAGACACTGGCTTTACAAGTCTGCAGCACTAAATTGATGCTAATCATGCAGTACATCTTTTACATATCTTCATGCTGCCTTCTCCCAGGAGAAAACATTCTGTGGGGCCCAGAAGCCAGCAAAGGCAGGGGGTGAGGGCCTGAGGGGATGGTGTGCAACATGCCCCTGGGAGTACCAAGGAGTTAACACTGTGGGATAGTTCACTGACCTCTGCATCCCGGCTGCCACAAGCAGCAGCCTTTGAATAAAGCCTGTGTATTTCCATCGCTGCCATTCTGTTGTTGGAGAGAACCAAAGCAAGCAGAGAGGTACTTATCTTAAACATAATTCGCTCTTAAAGAGCTCAAAAATAACTGTTCATACATGTTTATACATACATATAAATGCATATGTATAAATATGTAAGCAAAACTTGCATCCTAGGGTAGCTGATGTTACTGTTGGGAGGTCTGTGTGGTTGTAACTTAATTAAGGAGTACCAGATATTTCATAGCACATCTCTTCTATCAAAGTACCACTGTTTATATCAAGGTTAAAATAAATACTGCCAGAGCCCAGAGCAGGTGTGTGTGTGTTAAACTGAGCCTCTGCACCAATGAGGTGTTGTGCACACCATACCATCAACAGCCTGTTTTGTGAGAGATGCGATAACATCCCAGCAATAGCACAGGCAGATAATTACAAGGCTGGTGTCTTCAGTTAGTAAACTAGTTCATACCTGGGTACTATGTTAGATGCCTGCATGTTGGCTCTGAGCCTGCTAATGAGTGAAGTAGATCAAGGCAAGTAGGTCAGGCACCTTGGATGAGATGCAATAAACTTAATGGCAATGTCAGTGGGAAAAGCGGCCTTACTTGTTCCACCAGGGTTTACAGTCTAAACATAAGATATTTTGCCTACAAATAAGCGTTCTGTTCCCCTTTATGACAGCCTTTTTGAGCGGAGGAAAGGTTTCCCATATGTTCAAAGGCCTTCCAATAGAAGTGCAGCACATGCCTTGACATGGCTTAAAAAACAGCAATGGCTTTACATTTTTTGTACTATAGGCATCGAACATTTAGAAGTGATGTTTTCATAGCTCTTAGCCTCTAAGTGAATGACAGTTCTGAAAATCAGTTTTGGATATAAGCCAT